TGATCATCTTAGAAACACAGAAACACAGAAAAGCATACTGAGAATCTCATTCATAGTTAAATGCTAAATTATTCTGTCTACCAAAAGAAAGGAAAAGGCATAAGATTTTCTGTAAATTTTCAGGGCAGGGTACTACTGAACATTTACTTGGTGAATTCCAGGATAATTTTTAATACTCATAAGCTTATTTCTGATCCAAATGTTCCAAATTTACTTCTGATCATCTTAAAACTCTTTTCTCTTTGATTTACAGAATACATATCTCACTATTGACCCACTGACAATTCTTTTCTTTTCAGATTTTCTTTCAGTCTTGGGCACTTCCTCAGTCAACTCCTAAGTGACAAGTGACAAGGTATTCAACATTGAGAAATGAGTACGAGAAGGAGGAACCGATCAGGAACGAAGCAGCAACCTATGCAAAAATTTGGGAATTGTGTGTCTTAAAAGCCAATTTAAAAATGTGTCCTGGTATTTCAAAGGCTGTCAAGACATGTTAAGAAAGCTGAGTACTGAAAGCTGACAACGAATTTAGAAGCATGGAAGTCACTGAGGCCCTTCACCCAAACAAATTCCATCCAAAGGCTTTAAGAGAACACTAGGAATAAAACTGGAAGTGGTAAGTATTGTTCTTAAGAAAAATATCAACAGGCACTAATGGGTCACACCTGTAATCCTAGCTACTCAGGTGATTGAGATCTGAGTATTATTGTTTGAATCTAGCCCAGGCAGGAAAGTCCTATAAGACCCTTATCTCTAATTTGCTACCAAAAAATCTGAAAATGAAGCCGTAACTAAAGTTGTAGAGCACTACCTAGAGCCCAAAATCTCAGAGACAGTGTCTAGACCCTGAGTTAAAGGCCCAGGATGGGCACTAAAAAGAGAAAAAAACAGAAGAGAAAGAGACAGAGAACAATTTTGCCAAAAGATTAGATGAATATGAGTTCTGTTTATTTTCTTTATCATTTTGACTCAAGCACTTCTTTGATCTCACTAGTAATAATTATCTATAGATTGAGCCAATTTCTTTCTTTATTGTCCTATTTCACCTTTATTTCCAGCTTAATGTCTACATTTCATTATTATATTCACCATATTGCACTTGATCTCCAATCTTTTACATAATTTGCATCACATTTAATGGGAACCCCTTTGATCTAATTAAACTCATTTTTTCACTTACATTCTACTTGTACTCATCAAACTAAAAAGAACTAGAGAAAAGCATTCAATTGTACTTACTGGAATGCTCTCACTATATGCTCTTATCTTCACATAGGCCCTTTGTGCTTGCTGTCTAAGTAGGTATTACCCACACACAATTTTTTTTTTTAACTCAGACTGGGGCTTCAACTACAGTCCTACAGCTCTCACTTGTCATTTTACTATAGGAATCTTGTAGATTTGTTTGTCTAGACTAGCTTCAAACCTCAAAACTTTTTAATCTTAGCTGCCTGAGTAGCTAGAATTATAGGTATGAATCACTGTCACCAGGCTTTACATTTCTTTTATTTTCTTCTGGAAACCTCCAATAGTAAGCATTCTGTGCATATTTTCAACTGTTTGTAATCAGAAGAGAACTTTTATTTTTGGTGTTACTCATGGGACTTGAACTCAGGGCTGGGTCGCTGTCCCTGAGCTCTTTTTGATTAAGACTAGTGCTCTACCACTTAAAGCCACTGTTTCAGTTCCAGTTTTTGGATTTTACTGCCAGGACTGGATTTGAACTATGATCGTCAGATCTCAGCCTCCTGAGTAGCTACGATTACAGGCATGAGCCACCAGGGATGGCTCAAAAAGGAACATTTATGTGTCGACACCACTATTCCACTCAGTTATGCTTCTGGGTGTTTACGCTTCATCTTCACATTGCTACTACTGATGAAACCTTGCTTCTGTCTAAAGCACCATCTCCACTGCTTCAGCAGTGCCCATTCATCTTCCATAATGCACAACTATTGTTATTACAGGTATTTTTTCTTTTTTTCTTTTTTTCTTTTGGCTCTATATCATCACTTTTCTTCTGTTCTGAAACATTCCTATTATCCTATCACCTCTCTGAGGAAAAAAGGTGAATGTAACCATAACTATTAAACAATTTAGGCTCAGGTCCACCGGCACAGATCTCAGTAACTGTAGGTCAAGAATCAAATCTTTGTATATTTGGTCACAGCTTAAGAGCCTTCTCATCCCCAAATGCTTAATACCTATAAGGAACTACTTCAAGAGAATAATCTCATTTGTCACTATTTTTCTGGTCTTTAGTAATTAGACAGGGAAGGGGAAAGAAAAACAAAAGGTAGTAATAGGTTTTACAAGTCCCATATTATTCATTGTTTAGGTGAGAGATCTATTAGTTTGCTAATTTTGCAGGAAATAAAGCATTTTTCTCTTTTTTGATTATAGTATAATTAATTAACAATATACCCTCTACTTCATTTTTATTTAAATCCATTTTGCCATGACCAAGTGATGTAAGAAGAAAGATAGAACAAATCCAAAGTTTTTGTTGTTTTTAATCACCTTGGTTATTTTGCCTTTGGAATTGCTAAGTATTTTTCAACATTTCAACAAAATAATATGCTTTTTAAACTGCAGGCATCAGAATGGTTGTCATTCATGCAAATAATCACTTACACTATATGAGTTCGAGTTGTACAAAGCAAATTAACATTTGAAAATAATTCAAAAAACACTCTGGGCTAAGACCTTGCTTATGAATGTTATCTGGGCCACAATATTTCTTAACCTTCTTCTATTTAGCTAGACTCGTTTATGATAATATGTTCTAAATTAATAAGCTGCTGAATTGCCACAGGTGTATTAAACATGATGTTGTAGGAGCATATCTGATGCAAATGAATTCTAAAACATATCATTTATTTGATTCTACAGTGGCAATAATTAAGATGAGCTGTAAGTCTCATTCACTTAAGGATATACATATGCCTAAGTATTACATGAAAAACCTACTTTAAAAAGCAAAGCTCATATTAAAAAAAATCAAATACACAACTGCATTTTCACTTCTGATAGATATGAAAACAAGCAAAGCCAGACTCTACTGGCTCAAACCTATAATCCTAGCTACTCTGGAATCTGAAAAATGAGGCTCATAGTTCAAAACTAGCCCAGCCAGGAAAGTCTGTGAGAGTCTTATCTCAGATTAACCTCCAAAAAGTCAGAAATGGAGTTGTGTCTAAAGTGTGTCAAAGCACTAGCCTTAAACAAAAAAGCTCAGAGACTACATCCAAGACCTGAGTTCAAGACCCAAGACCAGCACTTAAAAAAGAAAAAAAGTAGAGTTTTCAAAAGTTCAAATTTTCTCATCACACATAAGAATACTATATATTATGATCATACATATATAATACTATATATATACATAGACATAGACATAGACATTACATATAGTCATCCTTTTGTATTCATAGGTTCCCTATTCATAAATTCCACAAACTACACATTAAAAATATTTATGAGGAAAAAGATTTATCTATACTAATTATATATCAAACTTTTTTGGTCATCATTCCTTAACTATAACAACTTTTTATATGTCACTAATATTGTATTTGATACAATGATATGATTTAAAATATATGAGAATGTATATAGCTTATATACAAATGTACACCATTTTAAATAAGACACTTGAGCATTTGTAAGTTTTGGTATCCTTAGGGAAAGGGTCATGGAAGTAATCTTCCACAGACAGTAAGACATAACTATACACACAGAGACACACAAATACAGACACAGACACACAGACACACACACACATCTGAAATATATACATACTTATATACACACATGTATTTAAAAATGATTGTGATCTTGGTTTCATTATCTTAGTTCATAGTTTTCAAAATTAAAGTAAATCATTTAAGGTTATTGATAAATGACCTATATTGATAGAAAGTTTTATCAATAAACGGAAACTTAAATCATAAGTCAGATAGCCAAACTTAATCCAGTCTGTGACAATGACAAGCACTGCAAGCCTGTCTCTATTTCTCTGAGCCTCTGTTTTCTGTAATCCATAAATAAGAATTGGGCCAAGTGGTCTGCTCCAAGTGGAGCAGAATTTTTAGTGAAATATTAGCTAGTGAGACACTCCAATAAATCAATATTTGGTAAACATAAAGACTCTACCCCTACAGCAAAATCTGGGTGAATTAAGTGTAGAACATAGAAATTAATGCTAACCTTTTGCATGGCATGCATGGACATTAAATCACAGTCTTCATTTAAGAGACAGGGAAGAAACAGGCTGTCCCTAAATTCCATTTAAGGACCCATTTATACTCATACTAGCATGCCCAGATAGTGTGAGTCCCACTTCTTGTGAGTAGAAAGAAATATTCTTACTGGTAGTAACAATAGTTTTCCTAGCTTTAATCAAAGTGAAAAAGAATTCCAGAATGTTCTCTTTGAGTCACATCATCCATTGGTAATTCAAGGTGGGCCTGGTATCAAAGGTAATAAAAATGTCCTTAGTACTAAGAAAAACAAATGGCAATTCAATGCATTTGCAACTCAATTTGGAAGTTTTACCTCTTTATTGAAATAATTTATATTATATTAGTATATTAACAAAAAGGGAAAAAGAAAAAGAATGCAGCATAAGAAATTTAAAATTATCCATGAAATAAGATTAATTGATTTAGAAGAGTTATTATGCATTTTGAAACAACAGGCCTAAGCTAAAGGTAAAAAGAGAGAAATGTGCTGGACAATGATTTGTCTAACAAAACTACAAATAAGAAAAAATCAGTAAGTGTTAAAAACCAAAGGGCTGAAGAACTCAGTATCTGAACTACCCATTGAGGTTGGACATATGATAACTTAAAAATCTGAAAATCACAGTATAGAGAGATCAAACTCTATTCTCTAACCATGCTTATGATGAAAAGTTAAAATTTGCAAGAATATCAATTTCTATACATTAGAGAAATAATTTACGCCACAATATTAAAAACAGAGTTGAACACACTAACCTGCTCACATCAGGAAACCTGATGGGAAAGTAAATAACTTGGCACTTGGGTCTGATGATGTTTTCCAGATCCTTGGGTCTATGATCTGGAATCAGCTTCATAAATTTTCCAATAGAAGTGAGAAATGACTCCATATTAAAAACTGAGTTGAATACCACCAAATCAGCCACTAGGCTGTAAATGGAAACAAGAAGTACAAATGATGAGATCAGATTCATTTCAAGTTACTTTACAAGCCTAAGGCCTGTGTGTAAATCAGAGTTAACACTGCATCTTAAGTTTGTAATAAATACTATAGTTCCTATCAGTATCTATCAATCCAATGTTAATGGATAAGTTAGCTGTCAGTATCCTATCATGGGAAGTTGAGGTTGATGGTACACTGGGAAAGGTAACAGAAAAATTAAACAATTTAGTGGAAATTATGTAAGACTTCAAAACAAAGCATATTTCCTCAGGATGCCAAGATCTTTCTATATTATCAACAATACTAAGGACAGCAATACCTTTGTAGCCCAGTTTCTCTCACTGAGTTTCTCCAACGGTGTACACTATACTACTAAGAAAAAATTGTTAGGAAATGGAAAGACTTAGAAAAAATTATATTAAGTGAAGTAAACCAGACCCAAAGAAACATAAGTCCCATGACTTCCTTTATTTGCCATAACTAGTATACATGTAGGATAATCTTACCAGACAAACAGAAAAGGTCAAAACTATGTACAAATGACCATATAAGATGATGTTAAGTGAAATGAACCCCAAGATAGGGACACAAGAGATTTTGCCTTTGTCATTGTTGTTTTTAATGTACTATGTGATTTTGTTTGTTTCTTTCTTTCTTTTGTATGCTCTCCCCTCCCCCACCCCCACACCCTGTGGTATAAATCCTGTTTTCACTGTATTTGATTCTGGTGCCCTGTCTCTTCTATATACATTATTCTAATTTGGGGAGGGGAAGGGAAATAACAAAATGCTGAAACAAGGATACAGTTGACTTATTGTAACAATGAGATGTACAAGACACAATGTTGAAAACGAACTTTACAAGTTGTGGAGGTAGGGGAGAAGTTGGGGAGATGGGGAGGGAAGGGATTGTAGGTGAAACACAAAAGAGGAAGTAACAATGCTTGACAGAAAATGTAACTGTAACCACTCTGTACAGTATCTTTATATATACAGCTGTTTGGTGTGTTCCTACCACCATCAAAACTAATTCAAAGATGTTTTCATACTAGACCTTGATATCTTCAGTACTATTTGGTTGGTCTTTTCTACTTTAGCCTTTCCTTTATCCCTTTAAGAAATTGTGTTACTTTTTATAAAATTCTTGACCTACACAGGAAGGATGATGTTATCATTTATCTATCAAACAGACTGTATTCTTCCCCTTAATACTGTAAAAGTAAAACTAACATACAATGTACTCGCATATGAAAATATGAGAGCAAATTTTTATATCATAAGTGTGTCAAAATAGGTTGCCTATAACATTTTCTTAGACACCAACAAATACAATGATAGCCATGGAAGAGGTATATGAAACCTAAATGCATAGTATCATGACTTTATGAGACAATATTGGTATAGTAAATTAATCAGTTAATTTCAAAAAAAAAATCTTATTTCATTTAATCAACTATTCAGGGTTACTGGATTGCAATAAATATATACAAACACTTCCAAAAGAAGGTATTTAAGATTAAATAGACAAAACAATCTTATTTTACACTAAAAATGACACATAAGTAACACTGAAAACAAGAATGTAAAATACACAAAAATAAGTAGAGCTTAGAGAGGATAGATTGTAGCTTATCCTCTATTTCGTTTATATCATACTTACTGAGACAGGAATATCTGTCATAATTAATACCTAGTAAAATGAAAAAAAAACATACAAATTTGCTATATACAAATTTGGTTTTATTTTTTGTCTTTTTTGTTGCTCCTTGGTATAAATTTGGAGAATAGATGTGATTATAACACAGATAATACAAAGGAATGTCACAGAAGTGCTGACACAACGGTAAGTAATCAGGAAACCAATATAATAATATACCAAAAGTTGAAAGATGTTTTACAGCTAGTCTGTTTTCATCATTTACCACATATTGTAATAGCGACCCTCAGGCCAGAATATATAGTTATGACATGTGTTCGTAAGTCAGAGGGTTACTGAAACCTCTGATTAAGGTGAGTTCCTATGTCAGTTAGCCTTAAAGTCCTTAACTGCCACATAGCCAGGAAGAAATCTTGACAATGCCAACAAAATCAGAAGTCAGCAAAATAAATAAATAAATACATAAATAAAACCTAAAGAAACATTTGAGGAAGCAGGAGTCATACTTCTCAAGGGGAACTGGAGCAGTATTGCTTTCTGACACTCTTATTTTTCCTCTAGACAACTGTAAACCATTTTTTCCCATTAAGAAGCCAAAGATGATGAAGCCCATTTCTTTCTCTCCTAGCTTGTCTATCAGTTTACACTCTTGAGAAGAGAAATGCTCAACACTCACGTGCAAGCTTTTGGAGTGCAAATTTTCTATGAGTAAAACATTTTTTTTTAATGAAAGAAAGTAAGGAGCAGTAAGAAAATCTTAATTATAATATCTGCCCTCAAAGAGCATGCATTCCACCTACTTACATTTCAAAAAATTTAGGCTTTTAAGTTAAAGATGTAAGATAGTTTACAGAAATAGTCTTTTTGGTACATTTCCTGCCTGATATGAGTGGTTGTAACTTCCATCAACTTTAAAGCTACCCATAAAAGGAAAAATAGGCTTAATTTTTTTTTCCTAGTGATTTCTCAGGGGTGATAAAACACACACTATCTGAAGAAAAGAATGAAGCTAATTCAAGAAATCATAAGAATATTACAAATGTTTTCCTTGATAAAGCACAAAATGATTCTTTTCATTTTAAAACATATTTTGTTTCTCTGTTTCAGCATAAAATAAAGTATTTTAATTTTATTATGAAATTTTAAGACGATTATTTTATGAGACATTTGACGTGAAACGGTTCCACACTATTTTGATAGCACTGCTACTTCACAATTGAAGCAGCTTGTAAAAATGATTGCAGGGAAACATTTACAAAATGCTCAAAACACAGAATTATTACCATGTAGCTATTTTTCTATGCCAACCAAAATATCAAGCACACTTGCAATAGCTGAGGATCTGTTTAAACACATCATCAATTCTAATAGGTAATAATTGTTAATAAAGGTGAGTTAAATGTACCCAATCACTGCCAGACTGGTTCAATTTTACCAGGGCAGTTATTAACTTCCTTCATTAACTAATCATCAGGATAAACACCTTGTGGATGGTACACAGAAAGCTTCATTTTCCATTCTTTCCTATCTTGCAAACAAACGCAAGAATAAAAGGAGTAAAGGACAAGATTTTGTTTTGCTTTCATTTTTATTTCTGTGTGTGTGTGTGTGTGTGTGTGTGTGTGTGTGTGTGTGTGTGTGTGTGTGTGTGTGTGTGTGTGTGTGTGTGTGTGTGTGTGTGTGTGTGTTGTGTATGTGCTCAAGCACCCGTGTGTGCACATGCCAGTCTTGGAGCTTGAACTCAGGGCCTGAACACTGTTCCTGAGCTTTTTTGCTCAAGGCTAGCTCTCTACCACTTCAACCACAGAACCACTTTTGGTTTTTTGATAGTTACCTGAAGATCAGAGTCTCATGGACTTGCCTGCCCGGGATGGCTTCAAACCATAAACCTTAGATCTCAGCCTCCTCAGTACCTAAGATTACAAGCACAAGCTACCAGGATCCAGCATTGTAAATTTCTTTTTCTTTTTTTTTTTTTTTTTTTGCCGGTCGTGGGGCCTGAAATCTGGGCCTGGGAGCTGTCCCTCAGCTTTTCAGCTCAAGGCTAGCACCTACCACTTGAGCCACAGCATCACTTCTGGCTTTTTCTGCTTATGTGGTGCGGAGGAATGGAACCCAGGGCCCATGCATGAAAAGCAAGGCCTCTACCACTGAGCCACCTTCCCAGCCTGGTAAATTTCTTTTTTAACTTTGGCTGAACACAGTAAAAGTTCCTGGTGAGTATGAGTTGACTACTGTTGTTAAAAGTGAAGAGCCTTAAATAGTAAATCAGAAAAGCAAGGATCAAAGGTATTTGTCAACCTTTTGATTCTATGTTGAATGCTGTACACAATAGTTAGATAATTCATTATATAATTAGATTGTTACATTCATGTATTCATGCTATGATATTGTGTATACTACAGAAGCACAAGTACTTATTACCAGGGAAGGAATGTTTAAGTATCTACAGCTAGCTATGTTAAAGTATTTATAAAGTACAGTAGGTCTCTAAATTGAAAAACATTAAGTATCTTTAAAGAAAAAGATGACAAAGAGCTAAACACGATGCAATCTACCTACCATGAAAGAATTTGGTTGTAGCCATACTGAAAATCCCTCTCTTGACATTTCTTTACAGGATATACTAATTGATTTTCATGGAAGTACAGGATCTTTTTTAATTTCCCAAGGTCAGGCCGAAGGGCAGTCAATTCAGTCAGGTTAAGCACTGAGCTTGCAAACAGAATCCTAGGAAACAAAGAAATTAAGGTTTACTTTCCTAAACATGCTTGAAGGGTCATTGTTTGCTATTCTCTAGTCTTTCTTCTGCCCACCCCAAGAACATATTCCCAATAGGGACACATCAATAGTTGAGCCTTAATACCATGTTACAGCATTCTAAGTTTTGATCTCTTAAAGACCAGCTGCTAAGAACTATAAAAGCCCTGAATCTCATTGGTCTTCATAGCTCAGTTACTGAGAGATGCAAAAATGGGGAGGAAAAAAAAAGAAAAAAGAAAAAAAAGCTGGATAGATTTTATTGAAAAAGCCAAGAAAAGCTCTATCTGAAGGACAAATGGAACAAAGATAAGGCTGACTGGGGAATACTTTGCTTGCCAGTTTCATCACACTTTACTCCTTTATGCAACCAACTACTGAAATTCAATATATGAGCAGGAATGGCACATGTTCATGTTATGACATAAACCCTTTTGATTTATGCAATAGACTTATCAGTGTGGTTTCCTCTCTTGGCATGATTTTTCATCCTTTTTTAAAAGTAGCCTATAATATTTGTATATTTAAAAACCTTTTCTTTTCCATTACTGGATTGCTAATGGTGCCTTCTCCTGAGCTATAAGAAGCACACAAGACCAAAGGCCAGCAATCCCTTTTAAACCACATTTTTACAGTTTTACTCTTCATAAGAGAAATATCTTACAAAGAAAGTGTATTTTTTTTTAATATTTGTCCATATCCCACTAAAACAAAAGGAAAACTATGGTCAAATAATATACTGTTGTGTCTAAAGATAGTCCATATTCTATCAAATATAAGCCTTTCTAAAACTGCTATTGAAATTTTATGGAAAATTAAGGTATTTGGTTACCTATAAATCCCATCCTTAGCAAAGAAAATGACAATATATTTCTTTCAACCAATCAATAGTCTCCTTAGAAGGGAATAGATGGATATCTGCATCTAATTACTGAGTTGTCTTTCCCTCTCTTTTTATTCCCTCCCCCCCCCACCCCCACCCCCACCCCGCAACATACACTATTATCAGCAAGGACTCAGTATTTTTAAATCATTAAGTCCTGAGTAAGCTCAATGATTTTCACATACAAGACAGAAAAATACATTAAACTCAGCCCCTATATGACAGTTACTAACTATAAAGAAAAATAGTACCTTTTATGTTGGAGAAATCTAGTAGATACCCACTTAATGAACTGATAAAATTTACTATGCACTATAATAGGACAAAGTGAAATTATATATTCCCCAAAATGATACATTAAGAAAGACATAAATCATTGATGCAATATATCTATTAAATATGCCTGATCTAATTTGGTGGTAAGGAAATGATCATATAAATATTATGTAAATTCACTGAGCTGGAGCTCCAAAAATGCCAGTAACATAAAAGAAAAAAATACCTAGATTAATGGAAAATAAAGAGGCTCCAAAATAGTATTCATTCCTTGAATGGATATTTGATTGGTAAAGAAAGAAGAGAAAGAATATTGTCAGAGAAAATTAGAACATGAGTCAAATATAAGATTGTAAATTGTTATCAATCTTAACTTTCACTAAGTATACTATTTTTATTATAGTTATGGGAAAATATACATGATTCTTTTAGGAGTTAAGTCAAATTATTTATTTGAAGTATCTTGATGTCTGCAGCTAATTCTTAAGGGGTTCAGTAAGAAAAACTACAACTCACATATTCATATGTATATGTTTATACAAATAATAAAAATGTACAAATACATTAACGATTAATTAATGTGAGTGAATTAAGTGTACAAAGTCATTGTCCTTGCTAGGTGCTGTTGGCTCAGATCTGTAATCCTAGCTGTAATCCTAGCTACTCAGAGGGCTGAGATCTGAGGATCACAGTTCAAAGCCAGCCCATGCAGGAAAATCCATGAGACCCTTATCTCCAATTAACCCAGAAAACCAGAAGTGGCACTGTGGCTCAAGTGGTAGAGTGTTCATCTTGAGCTGAAGAGTTCAGGAAAAGCGACCAACAACAAAAAAAAAGATTTTTTTTCTTGCTATTGTTTCTAACGTATTTATAAGATGATTTCTTTGTTGCTTTGTATGTCCCTCCCCCGTGGTATAACCCCTGCATTCATTGTATTTGATGTTGGTATAATTTGTGGAGGGGAAGGGAAAAAACAAATTGTTTAAATAGGGATACAGGTGGACCCATTGCAACAATCAGAAGTACAAGACGTTATGCTGAAAAAAGAACTTTACAACTTTGGGATGAGTGGGGGACGGGAAGGCAGGGATGATAAGGGGAAACAAAGGAGTAGGCAACAATGCTTGATAAGAAATGTACTCATTACCTTGCTCATATAATTGTAGCCCCTCTGTACGGTATTTTCACAATTAAAAAAACTTTAAAAAATAAGGATAGAAAAGACAGCACAAGAAAAAAAGTCTTATGGTAAAATTTTGGCAAGGTACAAATCAATACATGTATAGATTTGTGAGAACAGGAATGAAATGGTGGTAAATGGAAGGAAAGAAATTCTACATTCCATAAACAAAAAATGCATCATGTATGTATTTTTGGTCATCATTCAATGGTTAATTTCCTACATGAAGATGTTCTTGAGGGTGGACCATCTGAAGTAACTGTTTATCTAAGGCCATACTTTTATTCCACTCTGACTAGACGCTCTGGTCTCAGCTCATCCACCAGCTGATTCATAATTAAAAAATCTAAACTGAAAGATGAAACTTCAAAACAACTACCAAAATAGAATGCAATATATTTAGAAGAAAAATGAAAATGATGGTCATAAAATTCACCATTTGAGCTTGACTGCCTATAGCAATACTACTTATGATTTAATCATTAAAAGATAATTAATTATATTTTATGACAAACTTGAATCAGCCCTTGTTTATCTCTATTATTGCTAAAAATTATTTCCTCTTTGTTTATTCATTTCTAAGTAAAACTGGTAAATGAGTAATTTCTCAAATCTTTAGCTCAATATCCCAAAAGAAGCATTGCGCATTCCCACTGAAAGGATTTCAGGAATTACCTATCTTCAGGCAATTTTTACTTCTTCCCGATCACCAGATTTTAAAAGTTGATAATTATACCATTAATGGCATCTCTCAACCATCAGCTAACCCCTAAGCTTCCAGTGTTCACCATGCCTCTGCTATTATTTACTCAATAAATCCTAACAAGGTGTGCTTTATCACCCTACAGTGTGTCTCTGGCAGCAAAGGGCACAAGGTGACAGCAAAAACCACTAGGAACAAGATAATTCCTGACAGCTGCTGCTTGAGCACAAGTTAAATTGAACAGTTTATCTCAGCATGAAGATGTTATAAGGTTTTATGTTTAATATTTTTAAATTAACATAAAACCCAGAGAAAGCAGTTGAGCAATCTTTCACAAACATGACATACTACAATCACTGCATAAGCTGGATTAGTACTTATTACCAAGCTACTACAGAATTAAGCTGTTTTTAGACCACCAGAAGGCTTCAAATTGTAATTTTTGTCTCTGTAAAAGAAACTTATATTTAAAATGTCTTCGAAATTCAAATTAACGTCTATCTCATTAGCTTACCATTTTACTCAAAGTATGAGTATGTTGCTACTATAATTGTCTAACCCAAATGGTTTAATGCTGCAAGAACATTAACATTATTTTATGCAACTGGGGTAGTATCTGCAGACGTGTTTCAATTGTTTTGGTTCATACTGAATGTTGATTTGAATCATATTTGCTTAAAGAATTCCAAAACCATTCAACACAATGAAATTCAAAGATTAGTGAATTTGCTGTCTTCCGCTTCATTTGAGTAACCTAGTATTTTTTACCCTATTTACTTAATATATAAAAGAGAAAATGGAGCTAAAATATACCTAAGCCTTGTGGGGCTGTGAGCATTATCATCAAGATGCACACTGTTATATCTTATGTGATAAGGAAGGACAATAAAACAAGAGACACAAGGGGAAAATATTCAATACTCCAACAACTACCATATACTCTAGTAATAAATAACCCATAATGAACAATGTTTTCTCACTATTAACCCATGAAATCTATTCAACAGATCCCATTACTCCTGAAAACACTTATCACCTAACTGGACAAAGTACATAGTTCACAGATATCAGACTGAATTATGTTATTCATTCTTAAAAAAATGACCTGATTGGTTTCAGTAGGTCTTTGAGGAAAGCTTAAATTCATCCAGCAATGTCGCTTTGTTCCACTTTCCTCTCACTTTGCTCCTCTTGTGACAGATTCATATGACTCAGGATGATTACCCATTTTTGCTATTGCTATTATTGGTACTGAGGTTTGAACTCAAGGAATTATGCTCACTAATCTGGTATTCTACCACTCCAGCCACATATTCACCCTGCATTTTATTGGTTATGTTTAAAAGAGAGCTTAGTGAAACATTCTTGCTCAGCTGGCCTCAAACCATGCTACTCAGGAGCTCAGCCTCAAGAATAAGCAAGGATTAGAGATATGAACCACCAGGGCCAAGCATCATTATCTCACTGTGTGTTTTTCTTAATCTTTAAGTAGTTATCCAAAGAAGCTGCCATTTAACAAAGTAGTTGTGAATTCAATATATCTTGATCAATGTCACCTCTTTCAATATTCTCACTCATCCCTTCCCACCCACCCCTTCCCTCTTTCTTAATTTTGTAGGATATTCATTTGATTCTTGTCAGCATTTTCCACCTCTTGCCCTCTTCATTCATCTCACTGTTGTTCTTTTTCCTTGACCATCTATATACAAAAGCTTGCCTAACTGATTTTCCCAAACAGGTGTTTGACTTGTTTATGATAACCTAATTTCTAAATTCATCTTGATTAGCACAATTGCACTTGCTGTCCAATTCTGAAACTCTGAAATATCACTACTGCACTTCTTTTAGTTATTAATAACTATATATCCCTTACAGAAAATGTTTTCAATACAAATATATATGTATATCTATCTATCTATATCTATACA